ATCCCCACATGGGTACAATGAGTGAAGCCCATTTCTGGTGTCCCCCGCCGTGATATTGCTGGAATATTGCTAAAAGCGGCGTAAAACCAAACTCAGTCAGTCAGTCTGTGTGTCTGTCTCTATGTGTGTGTCTTGTATCCTCTGTGTATGTGTGTCTGTCTGTCTCTGTGTGTGTCTTGTACCCTCTGTGTGTGTGTCTGTCTATATGTGTGTGTCTTGTATCCTCTGTGTGTCTGTCTCTATGTGTGTGTGTCTTGTATCCTCTGTGTGTGTCTGTCTGTCTCTGTTTGTATCTTGTATCCTCTGTGTATGTGTGTCTGTCTGTCTCTGTGTGTGTCTTGTATCCTCTATGTATGTGTGTCTGTCTGTCTGTCTGTCTCTGTGTGTGCCTTGTATCCTCTGTGTATGTGTGTCTGTCTGTCTCTGTGTGTGTCTTGTACCCTCAGTGTGTGTGTCTGTCTGTCTCTATGTGTGTGTGTGTGTGTCTTGTATCCTCTGTGTATGTGTGTCTGTCTGTCTGTCTCTGTGTGTGCCTTGTATCCTCTGTGTATGTGTGTCTGTCTGTCTCTGTGTGTGTCTTGTACCCTCAGTGTGTGTGTCTGTCTGTCTCTATGTGTGTGTGTCTTGTATCCTCTGTGTCCGTGTGTCTGTCTGTCTCTATGTGTGTGTTTGTGTCTTGTATCCTCTGTGTATGTGTGTGTGTCTGTCTGTCTCTATGTGTGTGTCTTGTATCTTGTATCCTCTGTGTGTGTGTGTGTCTGTCTGTCTCTATGTGTGTGTGTGTGTCTTGTATCCTCTGTGTCCGTGTGTCTGTCTGTCTGTATGTGTGTGTGTGTGTATATCCTCTGTGTGTGTGTGTCTGTCTGTCTCTATGTGTGTGTGTCTGTGTCTGTCTGTCTCTGTGTGTGTGTGTCTGTCTGTCTCTCTGTGTGTGTGTCTTGTATCCTCTGTGTGTCTGTCTGTCTCTCTCTGTGTGTGTGTGTGTCTGTCTGTCTGTCTCTATGTGTGTGTGTGTCTGTCTGTCTCCGTGTGTCTGTCTGTCTCTATGTGTGTGTCTTGTATCCTCTGTAGTTGTCTGTCTCTATGTGTGTGTGTGTCTGTCTGTCTCTATGTGTGTGTGTGTCTTGTATCCTCTGTGTCCGTGTGTCTGTCTGTCTCTATGTGTGTGTGTGTCTTGTATCCTCTGTGTCCGTGTGTCTGTCTGTCTCTATGTGTGTGTGTGTGTCTTGTATCCCTCTGTGTGTCTGTGTGTGTGTCTGTCTGTCTCTCTGTGTGTGTGTGTCTGTGTGTCTGTGTGTCCTCTGTGTATGTGTGTCTGTCTGTCTCTATGTGTGTGTGTCCCTTGTATCCTCTGTGTGTGTGTTGTCTGTCTCTATGTGTGTGTGTCTGTGTGTGTCTGTCTCTATGTGTGTGTGTGTGTGTCTTGTATCCTCTGTGTCCGTGTGTCTGTCTGTCTCTATGTGTGTGTGTGTCTTGTATCCTCTGTGTCCGTGTGTCTGTCTGTCTCTATGTGTGTGTCTTGTATCCTCTGTGTCCGTGTGTCTGTCTGTCTCTGTGTGTGTGTGTCTTGTATCCTCTGTGTCCGTGTGTCTGTCTGTCTCTATGTGTGTGTCTTGTATCCTCTGTAGTTGTCTGTCTCTATGTGTGTGTGTCTGTCTGTCTGTCTCTATGTGTGTGTCTTGTATCCTCCGTGTGTCTGTGTGTGTCTGTCTGTCTCTATGTGTGTGTCTGTCTGTCTCTATGTGTGTGTGTCTTGTATCCTCTGTGTCTGTGTGTGTCTGTCTGTCTCTATGTGTGTGTCTGTCTGTCTCTATGTGTGTGTGTCTTGTATCCTCTGTGTCTGTCTGTCTCTATGTGTGTGTCTGTCTGTCTCTATGTGTGTGTGTCTTGTATCCTCTGTGTCCGTGTGTCTGTCTGTCTCTATGAGTGTGTGTCTTGTATCCTCTGTGGCTGTCTGTCTCTTTGTGTGTGTCTGTCTATCTGCCTCTGTGTGTGCAAATGTTTATGTTATGAACCTTCCCAGTGTGTTTATCAGGCACAGGTTTTGTAACCATTACATTTGTGTGACTAAAATTCCGTTAAGCCATTTTGTAAGAACCCTTGAGGAAAATATACATCCATATGTAAAATGTCCTTGCTTATAGGTATCTCAACATACAGAGAAGCATGTCATAACACTCTTATAAATGAAAATATATGAAAGTATTTCTATTTAATATATACTGCAAAGGAGCACAGAAATAGAGGAACATCACAGGGACATGATCAGGGAACATCATAGGGACATGATCAGGGAACATCACAGGGCATGATCAGGGGGAACATCACAGGGCATGATCAGATCAATGAACATCACAGGGCATGATCAGGGAACATCACAGGGTATGATCAGGGAACATCACAAGGTATGATCAGGGAACATCACAGGTATGATCAGGGAACATCATAAGGTATGATCAGGAACATCATAAGGTATGATCAGGGAACATCACAAGGTATGATCAGGGAACATCATAAGGTATGATCAGGGAACATCATAAGGTATGATCAGGGAACATCATAAGGTATGATCAGGGAACATCATAAGGTATGATCAGGGAACATCACAAGGTATGATCAGGGAACATCATAAGGTATGATCAGGGAACATCATAAGGTATGATCAGGGAACATCACTGAACATCATAAGGTATGATCAGGGGAATGATCATCATGGCATGATCAGGGAACATCACAGGGTATGATCAGGGAACATCACAGGGTATGATCAGGGAACATCACAGGTATGATCAGGGGGAACATCATATGATCAGGGAACATCATAAGGGTATGATCAGGGAACATCACATGGCATGATCAGGATCACATGGTATGATCACAGGTATGATCAGGGAACATCACAGGGTATGATCAGGAACATCACAGGGTATGAACATCACAGGGTATGGAACATCACGGGAACATGATCAGGGAACATCACATGGCATGATCAGGAACATCACAGGGATGATCAGGGAACATCATAAGGTATGATCAGGGAACATCATAAGGTATGATAGAGAAAACATCACTGCACACCATAGGGTATGATCAGGAACATATATGATCATGATCAGGGAATGATCATCACATGGCATGATCAGGGAACATCATAGGGTATGATCAGGGAACATCACAGGTATGATCAGGGAACATCACAGGGTATGATCAGGGAACATCACAGGGTATGATCAGGGAACATCACAGGTATGATCAGGGAACATCACAGGGTATGATCAGGGAACATCACAGGGTATGATCAGGGAACATCACAGGGTATGATCAGGGAACATCACAGGTATGATCAGGACATCAGATCAGGAACATCACAGGGTATGATCAGGGAACATCATAGGGTATGATCAGGGAACATCATCAGGTATGATCAGGGAACGATAGGGGCATGATCAGGGAACATCACAGGGAACATATGATCAGGGAACATCACAGGGTATGATCAGGGAACATCATATGCATGATCAGGAACATCACAAGGTATGTATGATCAGGGGAACATCACAGGGAACATGATCAGGAACATCACAGGGTATGATCAGATTTGAGGAACATCTTAGGGCATGATTAGAGGGAACGATCAGGGGGAATCATCACATAAGTATGATTAGAGGTATGATCGAAGGGAACATAAAAACGAACATAGGGTATGATCAGGGAACATCACAGCTTGGTATGATCAGCAGCGGTACTGGGAACATCATGCAATTTTATCGGTATGATCAGGATCAGCATCATGAGCATCGATCTACGATATTATAAGGTCAACCAAATCTGCGCATCTGGCCACCCGATCAGGAACACCTCTTACGACCAGCATGATCGCTGAAGATCAATCACATGGTATGATCACGGGAACATCATAGGGCATATGATCATCGCTTGATCACCATAATGTGGCAGTTTGTACAACGGTAGTGTTAAACGACAGTCACATGTCACTGATCAAAAACGGATATAACCTTTGGTCCTAGCCGGGCAAAGGTCCACAGTTGTGTTAGTGGGTTACAATACTACTTTCATGTTATTGAACATCACATTCCAGCTATAATTATGACGGCTGTCTACAAACAGAGTCAGGACCAGATGATCCAGTGATTGACATCATGAACATTGGTCTACGCAATTGAGATACGGTGACATACATCAACCAAGTCAGCAAGCCTCAACATCCGACCCCAACAGGCGCCTTTAAGGGCAAGCATGGTCGACTTTTGATACTGTTCTTAGTTGTATCAGATGTTCATTTTGTTAAATATTTCAGTAGAGTGAGTGAGTGAGTTTAGTTTTACGCACACTCAGCAATATTCCAGCTATATGACAGCGGTCTATAAATAATCGGGTCTGGACCAGACAATCCAGTGGTCAACAACATGAGCATCGATCTGCGCAATTGGGACCCGATGACATGTGTCAACCAAGTCAGCGAGTCTGACCACCCGATCCCGTTAGCCGCCTCTTACGACAAGCATGGGTTACTGAAGATCAATTCTAACCCGGATCTTCACGGGTCTATTTCAGCAGATCTAGGGAGGGGCGTGGGCATGACAGGACAAGTCAAGGATCAGGGCCACCATTGAAGAGATACATCAAAACAAACTTCACAAGATGTGTCCATCAAGAATCAACAGTCGAACAGGAGCAAATATCACAGGCCCTCGTGTCTTTGCGAAGATTAAAGATTAAACGGGTTTTTTTAGATGACCCCCGACTCGAAATGCTACACAGTAGACTACATTATGACGAGGCCGGACACTTCGGTATACCCTACCCGTCTGCTTTGCCGATCGCTACGCTACCATCGCATGTAATCGATTAAAACTTCATGTAAACATAATCATGGATGATTGGCCTATCGATCACCACTCATGACACCTACCAATTCTTTATTGTTATTTCTGTAAGTCGCTTGAAACCCGGTTTTGACCCTCAACTAAACGATCTTTAATCTTCGCAAACACGAGGGCCTGTGGCAAATATGTCAGGAAAAGCCAGCTGTTTCAAATGGCATGGCCAGTCACCGTCCGATTCAAACATTGCTACCCTGAGAACGGGTAGACACAGGTGGAAAAATGCGAGTTAGAAGTGAAACCCGAAGACATTAAGTTTTAATAATCCAGATAGCAACAGCGAGATAAAGGGCCCCAAAATGGCGAGCGAACCTTCAGACTCTGAACGTATTGAGGATATTGGTTTGCATTCCTTCTCGGTTTCCGTCATCGAAAGGTGGTTTGGGCGATCCTGAATATGCATCAATATCCCCCAAAGTCCTCTGAAAGATGACACAGGCAAACAGAAAGGGAATCTCCTAGTCTGCAATAGGGATTCCCCAGCAGTCAGTAGTGGTGAAAGAAATGCTCATTGGTGGACATGGCTTAATGTTTTGCGTTCATGGGGTAATGATTTCATTTCCGTTCTCAGGGAACCAAGGTTACTTTCTACTTACATGATACTGGTCATGTCATTTGAAACGTGGATTCGTACAATTTCCTCATTGGAGTTTCGATTCATACACGAAAGAACCTACAAATCCTCAAGAGAAAGTTACCAATATTTGTTACAAATAACATCTAACATAAACGGTCCCAAAATACAGGAAATCTACAGAGATACAGAGCATCTAATTTTGACTATGTTCTGGGAGAAGGGGCCTAGCTCAAATGGTTGTGCTTGCACTTAGAGTAGCCTCATTGAGCCCTTGGGGAGCTTAGTACATGGGAATAAGCGTTTTGTGGATTCAAGGGGGCTGGGCCTCTCACACAATTCTGGCAATTCGTCCACTATTTCGGCGTCAAATTACAGGAACCAACTACAGCAATCTTCATTCTCCTGTTATCGCCACTGCCTTGCGGCAGCTGCCTGGACGTCGAAAGTGTTGGTCGACGTTGTACAGATGAACATTTGTCAAGGCCAAGGATTTCAATGAATGCGTTGTGGAACTTCCTGTTAGTGGCGTAATATACAAGCCAGTTGATGGACGGGTGGAGGTGAGCGAAAACCACGATACATACGTGCAGCTCGTGCTGGAACGTGTCACGTGAGTCCAGTACGATCAGTAGCGCGTATGGTATCCAGCACACGGAAAACACGAGGTATATGATGAATAGTGTCTTTGCCAGTTTGAAACTTGGTTTTAGATCAGCTGCTTTTTCTGTTGGTCCTGGGTGGGCTGCACGTACATTATGTACCCGTAAACGGACAGATCGCACGTGGCGGTACATGCACATGTAGGACAACCCCGTGATGCAGATCGGGATCCACACCATCACGACGGAGAAGACGACGGTGTACGGGTACGTTGCCATGCGCTCCCAAATACACTCAAGGCTCTTGTGGTCAAAGGAATGGTCGCCGATGTCGGCGAGGTTGAGAAGGACCAAGCTCATGCCGACACAATAAAATAACACGCAGTAGATGACGCAGTTGCGGGTGCTGAAGATGGATTTGTAGTGACTGTGGTGGACGATAAAGACGTATCTGTTGCAGCTCATGGCGGCGATGGTCATGAGAGACGCCACACACGACATCGTGCACAACGAGCCAATGACACGACAGAGCCCTGGGATACGGTCGAAGAAGTCGGAGCCCTCCAGTTTGGCTGAAATGATCAAAAGGCGATTCAAAACAGTGCTTCCTACAGATTAGTGAGTGAGTGATTTCAGTTTATGCTGCAGTTTGCAATAAATAAAAGAACATTCAAACTAAAATTTAAACGACTTCAAAAATGATCCGTGGTTAAATAGAGATTAACATAGAAGGCCTTAGAGAGTCACTGGTTTGTCTCATCCAGTTTCGATTCTTTACAGGTTGCGTGATTTAGCTGGAACATTGCCTGTCCAAATTCCATTTTTTTCTCTGACGACAGGTGTTCTATATTCTTTTGACAAACGGTTTCTGCTCGAATTCCCTGTCGCCCTAAACATGTTTCCAGGTGTGTTAGTATCATCCACCTGCTCGTAGGGACCCGGGGAGTTCCGGGTTAGAAATGGTCTTTAGTAACCCATGCTTGTCGTAAAAGGCGACTAACGGGATCGAGTGGTCAGGCTCGCTGACTTGATTGACACATGTCATCGTATCTCAAATGCGTACATCGATTCTCATGATGTTGATCACTATATTGTCTGGTCCAGACTCGATTATTTACAGACGGCCGCGATATAGCTTGAATATTGCTGAGTGCGGCGTTAAACAACAAACCAACCAACCAACCTGTGGCACAGAATATGTTTCTTGGTGTGTTAGGATCACCCACGTGTTCGTTGGTTTGAGACTTCCCTTGAGACGGATTAACTATGGTAATTTGATTATATTCTATGTTCAAAAGGTAGGGTATAATCATCAAAAAGGTGTTACACCTATATGTTTAATAAGATAAATAGTTAAACAGTGTAAAAGGGACATCTGACGTTTAGTCGTTTAACGTCAGATGACCCTTAAGTTTTGTCAGATGATTGTCCTAAGCGCCCTACTGTCCATGCTGCTATTTACCGAGAATAGACAAACAAAGCCGGAATCACCCGATTCCTGTAGCTGCATTCGGGGCGGTGGGCACTCTCCTACCCAGAGTTCCATGCGGCAAGCCAGCATAGTACCTCTGCCACAGGCCAGAAAAATGTGACGATTCTTCACATTTGGCAATGTCCATTCAATATAATGTACAGATTTCTTTTACTCTTTTATTTTTGACGAGTCTACACATCTAACTAAACATCTTTAATAGAATGGTTTAGTTTCACTGAGAAAATATCCAAAAACATGAAACACTATTTCGATTTGCGTAGCGATTCTTTGTTTACATAGGTTGTACGGCTCCACGTGCTGTCATCGAAGCTGATGGAGAGCAAACGATGCAGCCAATTTGATATCTAAATATGTACTGTCATAGACCTTACTGTCGCAGTTGTGGAAGAATATATATGTAACAATGTAAAACAATATGAAGAGAGCGCCGAAAAGCTTTCTTGAGTCCAGTCTCTTCTTATTATGAATATGTGCGTTTGTTTACAAACAAGAGAAAAGTCCGGTCACGTGATATGCAAATTAGCCTGTGGCAGTGACGTTATGTTAGTCATCGCTGCGCCGGAGTGTGGGCGATGGGGTCGCCTAGTGGTTTCAGCGTTCGCACAAAGCATGTTCATGTCGCTGATGGTTTATCACCATATTGCCAGCCTTACCTATGATACTCATTGGGTCCGCTATCGCCGTCACGTACAGGTCGGAGCAGGCGAGGTTGACGATGAAGATAGACTCCACGTTGTGCAGAGACTTCCTCGTTGCCACGGACACCAGAATCAGACCATTTCCTAAGGTTCCTGCAACTGTTGCAAGTCCAAGTATAAACAGAATCGGAATCGCAATTTCCGGTTGGATGGTCAAGAATTCGTGGCGTCCAAATGTCAGCCGAGTTATATTGTCCATCCTGTCCCCTGTCTCGGACTGACGGGTTCCACCTGATGATGGTCAGCTGACCACCAGGCTTCTTAGGAGTGTTCTCATGAAAGGTCAGACTGTGGTCTTCTCCACAGAAAAACGGATCTGCAATGACAACCAACCCTGACAGTTACCACATGAAAACCGCTTTGATAAATCTAAGCTGAGTAAGTGAGTTTAGTTTTACGCCGCACTCAGCATTATTCCAGCTGTATAGCGGCGGTCTGTAAATATTCGAGTCTGGACCAGACAATCCACTGATCAACATCATGAGCATCGATCTACGCAATCGGGATACGATGACATGTGTCAACCAAGTCAACGAGTCTGACCATCCGATCCCGTTAGTCGCCTTTTAGGACAAGCATGGGTTACTGAAGATCAATTCTAACCCGGATCTTCACGGGTCTGAGCTGAGCCCCGTTTCACATATCACAATATACGTCAAGCTTTTGCGCAAGTTGACGCGCGCAAAGGTAGCCGGGAACCAGATTATGATAAATCCTTATACAAATTATTTTAAAGGTTAAATGAACCAGCTTTTTAAACCCATTCTTTGTGTTGAAGTCCCTGAAATACTCGATAATCCCACCGGCGGTATCTGACCTCTAAGTAATGAATACAGTCAGACCTCGTATATCCGAACTTCAGATATCCGAATACCTCGGTTTCCGAACATTCTTCACAAAAAACGAAATTTTCTAGTTACAATTTACCTCGTATATCCGAATGTTCGGTTTCCGTATCCGAAAGGTCAATTTTGGTAACGAAACTGCAAAATGTGTACAAATTTGCCTCGTATATCCGAACACCAAGGCTGCCGTCGGCAAGATGTCTGATGTTTACCGCTCTTCAGCAGTGCTCACTCAATGACCTTTGATCAAATCCTATATCAAAACCCAAGGTACACAATCACTGACAGAGAAGCTGAGAATTTGTACTAATACATATCTCCCGAACCACCACCTCAATGAATTCTCAATCCTATTGTTTTATTCATCTAAAACTATCAGCAGTGTCAAAACTGGCCCGTGCTTAATGATTCCTGAAAATCTCTATAACATCTTTGCATTACGTATGAATTTAGTTTTCAAAAGGGAAGCTTATTTTACGTTCATATAAACACGTGCTTTCCTGGCTAATTTCTGAAAACTGAAAAAATTCGATCCTGTTGGCAAAAAAGGGCCATATAAGACTTTCTCACTCCACGAGTACAAATAAATCTACAAAATTATGTTTCGATAACTGAAGTTTTTTAACATCACGTAAATACGAATGCAGTAAACTAAAAGTTCAAACCAGAAGAAAATTGTTTATCTTTTCTTCTCATGAAAATTCTAAATATATATTGCACACACGGAAAAACTGATTACTTGGACATCCTACCATTACTTCGTAAAACCTTGTGTCATTTGAGTAATTGCTCATTAGATCCCTTGTCCAAGAATACATTACCGTAGGAAGTGGTTGCAAAGTTTTAAGTACAGCGGGGAATGAGAAACCAACATGCAGATTACCAGGTGCGTCTAATGGAATAGGGGCGAACATTGTTTCCGTGAACAAAAGTACAGACTTGATCAAAGAGTAAACAAGGGAGAGCAAATTTGGTGTTGAATAGATTCCATTGAAGAATAATTCTGTACAGCGACTTCATCAAATTCTATGTTGTGATGCGTCCTTTCAACAGTTCTATTTCAGACTTGAGAAAGGTTCATCACCTCATGCCAGTCAATATCTGCTGCACACACTGTCGCACGATGATTGAGACCCAGGGTGATTAGGTTGTTGATTCTGAAGACAGGAATACAGTGCGAAACAGAAAAGGAACCAAACATAGAGCCACAATTGCGTAGTATGGGAGATTGTAAAAGCAATAAAAGCTATGAAGCGCCTTCAGTGACCACTGCAATCATTACAACGCCTTCGGTGACCGCTGCAATCATAACAATGCCTTCAGTGAACATTGCAATTATTAAAACGCATTAAGTGAACATTGCAATCATTACAACGCCTTCAGTGAACAATGCAATCATTACAACGCCTTCAGTGACCGCCTTAAGTGAACTGCAATCATTACAACGCCTTCAGTGAACATTGCAATCATTTGCAATCATTACAACGCCTTCAGTGAACATTGCAATCATTACAACGCATTAAGTGAACGCCTTCACGTGACCACTGCAATCATTACAACGCCTTCAGTGACCACTGCAATCATTACAGCGCCTTCAGTGACCACTGCAATCATTACAACGCCTTCAGTGAATCATTACAACGCCTTCAGTGACCACTGCAATTATTATCGCCTTCAGTGAACATTGCAATCATTACAACGCCTTCAGTGAACATTGCAATCATTGCAACCATTATTACAACGCCTTCAGTGCAATCACAATTGCAATCATTACAACGCCTTCAGTGACCACTGCAATCATTACAACGCCTTCAGTGAACATTGCAATCATTACAACGCCTTCAGTGAACATTGCAATCATTACAACGCCTTCAGTGAACATTGCAATCATTACAACGCCTTCAGTGACCACTGCAATCATTACAACGCCTTCAGTGACCACTGCAATCATTACAACGCCTTCAGTGAACATTGCAATCATTACAACGCCTTCAGTGAACATTGCAATCATTACAACGCCTTCAGTGACCACTGCAATCATTACAACGCCTTCAGTGAACATTGCAATCATTACAACGCCTTCAGTGACCACTGCAATCATTACAACGCCTTCAGTGACCACTGCAATCATTACAACGCCTTCAGTGACCACTGCAATCATTACAACGCCTTCACAACACAGCATCACTTTCCAGACCGATGTCGCATATAAAATTGTGCCCCTTTTCAAAACTGTCCGTAGGGGTACATCGCTGGGCACACACCTCTCCTGCAGCTCCACCAGCTTCCATGTATTTGAACAAGGGGGATAGTTCTATGGATATACAACTTATTCATTACAACATATGGTACGTTTCAGTGGGATGCTAACACCGTCATCAAACAAGTGGAATACAAAAGTTGTATATCTATAGACCTACTTCCCTTGTTCACCACACCAACTTCTTAATGCCACACAAAGAAGGTAACCATGTATATGATAGGGACATTAAATATGAATCAGGTTCCCGAGAACCTAGTCGACATTTACTTCAGACAAAAGTCCATTAACAAGCAGAAGTCAGTTTAATTACAATCTACTCCGTTGTTACTTAATCACGGCCATACCGACATTCATGGCTTGTACAACATCCGTGCGGCCATATCCATTTAATGTCTGACAATGTCACATTAACAAACTTTGCTCATTTATCTGATATCTAGTTTATTAGCCAGGCTTTTTGCATCCTATGTCTTTTACAGTTTCATCAGTTTCTTCTCAACTTTATCATACTTGACTGGATCACAGAAAACTTTTTACACAGGAAGCTTGTTAATTTGTTTAATCTGAGAAACTCAAGAATAGGGCTGGGTCGGGTCCAAATTTTCTATCCGGGCCCCCCACCCTCTATTACCCTACCCTACCCGGATACCCGATATGTTAATTCCTGATATCAAATTTGTAAGAAATGGCAATATATGCTTCAGCTCGGAAGCTAACATTTCGAGTTTCTCAATATCTTAATCATGTATTATATTCAAAACAGGTGCATGTAAATGGTGTTTAAATTTTCAAAGACAAGACAACATTTTAATCATGAAAGAATAACATTTTACATTCAAATTGTTTAATCTATTAATGATCATAACGGGTCCGGGTATTGAGATGGGTACCCGGGTCCAACTCATTACACCCGTCCCGGGTATCCGGGTTACCCGTCTCAGCCCTACTCAAAAACATTCCGGAAGGGAGGCTGGCAGGGTCATCTACACGCTCCTACCCAGAGTTCCATGCGGCAAGCCAGTATAGTACCTCTGCCACAGGCCAGAAAGATGTGACGATTCGTCACATCTTGCACCGTCCATTCAATATAATGTACATATTTCTTAACTCGTTTATTTTTGACGAGTCTACACATCTAATTAAACATCATTGATAAAATGGTTTAGTTTCACTGAGAAAATATCCTAAAACATGTAACACTATTTCGATTTGCGTAGCGATCCTTTGTTTACATAGGTTGTACGGCTCCACGTGCTGTCATCGAAGCCGACGAAGAGCAAACGATGCAACTAGTTTGATATCTAAAATATGTACTGTCATAAATCTTTATGCCGTTTTTAGTTGTGGAAGAATATACATGTAACAATGTAAAACATTGTGAAGAGCGCACTCAAAAGCTTGCGTAAGGCCAGTCTCTTCTTATTATGAATATGCGCGTTTGTTTACAAACAAGAGAGAAGTCTGGTCATGTGATATGCAAATTAGCCTGTGGCAGTGATGTTATGCTAAGTCATCGCTGCGCCGGAGTGTGGGTCATCTAAGGCCACACAATTCGTAGTGCAGAGTTGCGTGCCTTGGTCAGAAGCATGTGATCGTAGGTTTGAGTCATGGTTCGTCCCGATTATGTTTATTTTTAGAGCACCACACCAAAGTGGTAAAACGTCTGAGACCCACAGAGTCGTGCAAAAAGTATTCGGCACTTGACGTCATTTCCATAGACGTACATGTTAATTTACGGATTGTTCAGTTTGACCCGGGAGGTCAAATGGCACAAACGGCAGGTCGAGTTAACTTCATTAAATAGGGGAGCAAAGAATGTTATTAATGTTGCTGCTCGCTGCCTAAAAGCTTGAATCGGAAACAATAAACCATCTGAAGCTTCTTTTTTAAAGAAAGTTAGGACGCTGCTGACGATTTCTCGACACTGAGGTGTCAAACGGCGACCTTGTCTCGGCTGTTCGAACATATTGACAATCAATGCACCCCTTCTCAATAATAGACCCAACCAGTTGTGACACGTCACGCAATGCATTAGTATTCACTTGATCAGGTCAAGCTGAACGAGCTGTAGTGTAACATAAATACTTTTCTTTAATTTAATTTTTGTAAGATCCAAGTCAAATTTTGCACATTTGTGAGGAACCATGTTACCTACAATCACATAATTTCTGTTTAATTTTCCGTTGCTTATTTCAGGAATGGCAACAA